GACATGATCCTATGTATAGGAAATCCAAAAGACTCCACTGAAAGATTACTGGAACTCAGAAAGGAGTTTGATAAAGAGGCATGATATAAAATCAACAAAGAAACATCAATAGCCTTTGTATACATAGATAATGTCATGGCCAAGAAAAACATTTGAAATCAGTTCCATTCACAATAATTAATAAAAGAATTAAATACCTTGAAATAATTTTTTTTTATTTTTTTTATTTGACAGAGTTAGACAGTGAGAGAGAGAGACAGAGAGAAAGGTCTTCCTTCCATTGATTCACCCCCGAAATGGCCGCCTCGGCTGGTGCTGCACCAATCCGAAGCCAGGAGCCAGGTGATTCTTCCGGGTCTCCCACGTGGGTGCAGGAGCCCAAGGACTTGGGCCATCCTCCACTGCTTTCCTGGGCCACAGCAGAGAGCCGGACAGGAAGAGGAGCAACCAGACTAGAACCCTGTGCCCATATGGGATGCCGGCACCGCAGGCGGAGGATTAACCAAGTGAGCCACGGCACCAGCCCTACCTTGAAATAAATTTAACAAAGGATGTCAAAGATCTCTGTGGGGGCCGGCGCTGTGGCATAGCGGGTTAAGCCACTGCCTGCAGTGCTGGCATATCATATGGGCACTGGTTCAAGTCTTGCCTGTTCCACTTCCAATCCTGTTCTCTACTATGGCCTAAGAAAGCAGTAGAAGATTGCCCAAGTCCTTGGGCCCCTACACCCGCATAGGAGACCTGGAAGAAGCTCCTGGCTCCTGGTTTCAGATCAGCACAACTCCAGCAGTTCCAAACAACTGGGGAGTAAACCAGCGGTTGGAAGAACTCTCTCTCTCTCTCTCTCTCTCTCTCTCTCTCTGCCTCTCCTTCTCTCTCTGTGTTACTCTGACTTTCAAGTAAATGAATAAATCTTTTTTAAAAAAACATCACTATTACAGATGGTTTTTTAAAAATATCTCTGTTGAAAATCACAAAATAATAAAGAAATAGAAGAAGACATTAAAATGGAAAAATTTTCCTTGTTTACAGATTGGAAGACCCAACATCATTAAAATGTCCATACTAACAAAGGCAATTTACAGATTCAATGAGATTCCAATCAACATACCAATGTCATTCTACACAGATCTAGAAAAAATGATGCTAAAATTCATACCAAAACACAAAAGATCCAAATAGCTAAAGCAATCTTACACAACCAAAAGAAAGATGGAGGCATCACTATGCCTGATTTCAAGATATATTACAGGACAGTTATAATCAAAACAGCCTAATACTGGCACAAAAACAGACTTGTAGACCAATGGAAGAGAATAGAAACTCCAGAAATCCATCCATGCATCTATAACTAACTTATCTTTGACAAAGGAGTGAAATTCAATCCCTGAAGCAAGGACAGTCTCTTTAAAAATAGTGCTGGAAAACTGGGTTTCCATGTGCAGAAATATGAAACTAGACTGCTACCTTACACCTTACACAAAAATCCACTCAAAATGGATCAAAGACCAAATCTGCAACCCAATAATATCAAATTACTAGAGAACCTTGGAGAAACTGCAAACTATGCATAGAAATAGGCAAAGACTTCTTGGAAAAGACCCCAGAAGCACAGGCAGTCAAAGCCAAAATTGACAAATGGAATTACATCAAGATGAGAAGCTTCCACACTGCAAAAGAAACACTCAGCAAAGGGAAGAGGCAATTGACAGAATAGAGAAAAAAAATTTTTAAGATTTATTTTATTTTTATTTGAAAGACAGAGTTATAGAGACAGATAGAGACAGAGAGAGAGGTTTTCCACATGCTGGTTCACTTCCCAGATGGCCACAAGGGCTAGAGCTGCGTCAAACCAAAGCCAGGGGCCAGGAGCTTCTTCCAGGTCTCCCACGTGGGAGTAGGGGCCCAAGGACTTGGGCCATCTTCTACTGCTTTCCCAGGCCATAGCAGAGAGCTTGATCAAAAGTGGAGTAGCTAGGACTAGAACCAGGACCCATATGGGATACCAGCACCTCAGGCCAGGGCTTTAACCCAACTGCACCACAGTGCCAGCCCCAGAGAAAATTTTTGTAAACTATGCAACTAATAATAGGTTAACATCCATAATCTATAAAGAGCTCAAGAAATTCAACAACAAGAAGAATTTGAATAGCCTTTTTCAAGAGAGGAAATTCAAATGGCCAACAGACATTTGAGAAAATGCTCAGCATCACTAGCCATTAAGGAAATGCAAATCAAAACCAAGGTGGGGTTTCACCTCATTCCAGTTAGAATGGCTCTTATACAGAAATCAACAAATGAAAAATGCTGCTGAGGATGTGAGGACAAAGGGTACCCTGGTCCACCTTTGGTGGGAATTTAAACTCGTGCGGCCACTGTGGGAAACAGTATGGAGATACCTCAGGAATCTCAGTATAGGCCTACCAAATGATCCAGCCGTCCCACTCTTGGGAATTTACCCAAAGCAAAATAACTCAGTATATGAAAGGTTTATCTGTACCCCCATGTTCAGTGCAGCACAATTTACAATAGATAAGATATGGAATGAACCCAGATGTCCCTCAACTGTTGACTGGATAAAAAAATAATGGTATATATACACTATGGAGTACCACTCAGTTGTAAAACAAGAGTGTTAAATTATTAAGTCAACAACAGGAGTCACTGTGTACTTACTCC